AGTTGCTAAATAGTGGTTTGCCATGAAATGGTGTCTTAACAATTAGAAGTTTAAAATCTTAGGTGGTAAGTTTCTTAAACATAAGCCAGTGACGTTGGGGTTTTTTTGGGGGGGGGTGGGGGAATGGATTGTGGGTTTTTTTGGTTTTGCCTTCCTCTGCAACATGTGGGTAGAGGTCACTTGCCAAGATTATCTGGGTATATCTCACTTAATTGTTTTCCTGCCACTGCAGAGACCTTGGGCACTGGTGCACCTTGGTCCCTCCTATTCTCTCCCTGTGGCTCATAATAGTCTAGTCTCCGGTGGGCTGTACTACTTCGGTCTAAATTTAATTGTTGGGTTTAGTGTGTGGGTGATGGTTGTGGCCTGCAATATCCAGACTAGATTATATGGTGGTTCCTTCTGGCCTTAAACTTGGATTCTACCACTGACACTATGTTGACTCTGTTTTACAGCACTGTGTTGTTACTCTTTGACTTTTATGAGATTTGCCTACAAGGTACAGCCAAGAAACTGGCTTCTGTTTGCATGTCACTTCACTAATGAAATCGCACAGCTAATCCAAGGAGGACGACTGATGAAATACAGGTGAGTGAATTTTAAAATCTGGGTGGGGAAGGGGAAACAAACTGACATTTGCTAGGGGTGTTCTCTGTACATGAATTCAGATTACAAGGGGTGCAGTTTTCCATCTTCTATAATCAGCAATGACTATTAGCTGCCAGATTTTGGTGCCTCCTGCTGTAATATCCTATTGCTGGTTGTTCATCTCTGTCACAGAGAGCAGCTGCTGAGAAGGCGGCTTCCCAGGAAACAAATGGCAGAAAAGCAAAGCAAATGCTGAACATTTCATTGCCTCCTCATATGCTGACACAATAGCTTAGGAACTCCCATCTTTTGGGACACTTTAAAACTAGACTGCATAAAACAGGGAAGTTTAGGGACCAGTTTTGTTGTGGTAAGGTGAGAAACCAGATAATTTAGTAAGTCTCTTTTTTATACCCAGCCTTTGATTTTTCACATTATGTTCAAGCCTTAGTCAATAATTGTATATAAATACTAAGACCTTCGCTGAATTCTCCTGTTTTTCTTGGTAGGATGGAAAAGAAGAACTAAATATCTTTATCTGGGAAAAACAGGGAATGTGCTCCTCATCATGAATTACAACAAAGGAAGAGCTCTACAGTTGCTGTGATGCAGACTTTTGCATTTTCTTCTCCATCATAAAATTCATCATGAATACAAGATCTTGCCAACACAAAACACATCATCCTTCCACTAAATTTTGTAGCCTGCCTTTTTTGTAAAGTACTCTTCCGAATGTAGACAATTACATCTAGCTCTTTGCTGCCTTACACGTACTGACTTTACTTTTCTATTAATGAAATTACTTATCCAAATCATGTGTTCAATAATTTTTTTTAAAAGATGAGAACTTTTGTTTTTATTTAACCAGCTATATAACTGAATGGCACAGGACCATTTCATGCATCTTAAGCCTGCTAGATCAATATGAACGTAGAGGTCAGTAAGACACAATTGTAGATGGTGTAATTGTTCTGCATATTTAAATATTTTAAAAACTATTTAACGTAGTACTTGCGGAGCATCCATTCCTGACTGTTTCATCATTAAAATTTATACCAGACTTCAGCAAGACATTGCTGATCTAAAAGTATGCATTTGCAGGCTTGCCAGGTCACTCATTGCATGTATGTTTTCAGTAATGTGACTAATGGATTTTACCTGAAAGGGCATGTTACTTACTTTTTTTACATAATTCCTGGTCCCTAGAATCACCTTGAGAGAAGCAAGAATTTCTTGTAAATCAAAGGAGGGTAACAGGGTTACAAACATGCATATTTAAGAAGCTTGGAATGTTGTGGATTTTTATATTTTGTTAAACATATTCATTTTGTGCACGTGGGCCTCTGAAGGTCGCTCCGGTCCTTATTCAGGCAAAAAAAAAACTTCCCTTTACTTCAGTGGGAGCCTTGTCAGGGTAAGATCTGAAGGATAAAACTCCATTGTCTGTTTTCCTCCACATTGTGGCAGTCCGTGGGTGTGGGTTCCCCCCCCCCCCCCGCTTACTTCATCACACTTGCTTGAAAGTGGCATCAACAACTGCAAATAATGCATACAACATAAATAATGTATGTGACAGACATAATTTTATTATCAGTAAAATGATTTTGGATAGTAAAATCTGTGTCCCAACTAAATATGTACTGTCAAAGTTTTAATCAAAATAATGGCAATAAATTTCAATAAAATTCTGATGCAAGTAGTCTCTTCGTAATGAAATGGAATATTCTTCTTATATGCCAATATCAGATCTTAAAGGAAATCTCCTACATATGGGAAGTCTGATGATGGTCAAGGCATCTCAGCTATAGGGGCCATTTTTTGTTGCAATGAGCTGAACTTAAAATTAAAACAAACTGGTGTATGAAAATAGTGTTGCTGTTTTTACTGACTGTTGTGGAATGATTGGCATACAGTTGACAGACTTCTTTATATAGAGAGAAACTTTGTTATTCTTTACATAAATGGGATTTGTTGGATCAGGAAGGAGATGAGGAAACATCTTTCTGGAATTCTTACTGTGACACACAGTGTTAATTGTACCAATGACAGAGCAAATCAATTGCATTAGTTTTTCACTTGAGGAAAATAATGTTGATCTTGATGGTTGTTTATATCCCATTGATCAGAAAACACAAATGGCCACTAACAAGGGGGTTACATGGATGTGTCTTTCAGCTGGGGGAATTTTTCAGTTGACAATACAAATTATGGAAGGGGGGGGGGAACCACTAAAAATGCAAACTTTAGATAGTTTTAACATAAAGCCCCAAGCAGCATTAGATTCATTTGAAACCTTAATGAAAACTAGAGTTAAATTGGTCAGAATTTCAGGTTTCTAAGGGACTCTGAAACAATTTGGGACTTCTCAGTCTTTGTTGCAAATATTGAGCATAATGTTCAAAATGAGGCAGAAGTCTAAATATTGTATAACTTCAGGTAACTGCATGACGTGGCTAACATGTTAACCCTCTCAAAACCAGTGTGGGGTCAGCTGTTCATTTCCTGAGTGTCTGCTTACTTTAACAAAAGTGGTGGAATAGTTCATATTAGAATTTACCTCAATTGCTGAGTTCCTAAGGTTTGTTTTATTTCTATCTTTCTATAATGCCATAGAAATTAAAACAAAAGCAGAAGTGGAAAACTCTCAAGAAAATGTACTCCATAATCATCCCAAAGCTCGCATGCTTATCCAAACTGGGACTTCTTAAATGTAGTGTTTAACATCAGAACGAGGAGAAAAAGTGGCCATGAACATGAGTGGGAGTTGGGAGATGTCACCATCTCAAAAAATGAGGCCACTTAGCTATCTATATTAAAGAATCTAAATCTGTATTTAGGAACCTACCTTTGAAAAGTTTTGCTAAAATTTGGTGTTTAACCACATTCCCCCTCCCTACTTCCCCTTACTGCTGTTTCCTCCTTCTGTAAGTTGATATCAGATTGGGTAAACTTGCCATAGATTTTCTGCATCAAATGCTCTGTTTTAGGCTAGGAGTTACCATATAACAGATTTTTTTTTTGCAAAACAATGTTTAGGAAAGCAGGAACTATACACCCAACATGGGGTTTTTCACTACTTACAAATGGTGTGGTCTGCAGCAATAGTTGGGTTAGAAGTTCAAGAAGGCAGCAACTGCACCTGCTATATTCATAAGGTGTCTAGCACATCACATAAGCTTTCAGAAATAAGAAGGCAGACTTCAGGATTGCTACTCCAATCAGCAGATATTCTGGTTGGCCCCACAAAATGAAAAACACAGAGATGGTTGCATTACATTACTAAACAGTTTTCAGCATATCTACGAGAAAGCATGTTATCTACTTCCCATCCTTAGCATTGTACAATGATCTGCCACCAGTAGGTAGTGGCAGATGGGCTATATACTGCTTGTGTCAGGAAGCAGGGCCTGCAATGGAGTCAGTCTCCAGGCAACCTGTAGTAGGCAGCCTATTTAGCTATTCCACCTGATTGATTGGAAGAGTCAGCAGACTGCCTGTTAAGCCCAGCAGCAGCAGTTCAGTGGCTACTCACAGTATTTGCCTAGGCCTCTGATAGCTCCTGCTTTGTTCCCAGCCCTGCTTCTGCCTTGTCTCAATCCAGGTAACTGAGTCCTGAACTTTGGCTTTGATTTCTGACTTTGGCTCTGAACCTTGGCTCTGGTACTTGCCCTCTGACTCCAGTTCAGACCCTGGGCTCCAATTCCTGACTGCTGACTCCTTCTCTAATCACTAGGCCTGACGCCTGCTCTGACCTCAAAGCACAACCACCTGCATCCTGATCACTGGCAGTTTGGACACCCCAACACAAATGATAAGGGAACTAGAGATGATATGGTGAGCATAGAGTCTAAAAGCCAACGTCTCTCCTATGGCTGGCTTGCAAGGTGTGCAGGGCTCCTGCTACCAAGTGCAGAATGCAAGCTCAAGCAGCATCGCCTTCAGCTCCAGCCCCTGCTGTCTGTGAACCCAAGCTCCCTGTACCTGGCAAGTTCAACAGCAATCCAAACAAATTTTGTAGGCTCCTAATTTAGTGTCTGCCCTTATTTCTGTTAAGTCCGCCTCCATACCTGCCTTGTTCCAGCCCTGTTCCTGCCTTGGTCCCAGCCTTGCCCTTTGCCTTGCTTCACTCCAGGTAACCCAGTCCTGACCCTCAGCTCTGATTTCTGACTTCGAGTCTGATCCTTGGCTCTGGCATCTGGCTTCTGACCCTGAGCCCCAATTCCTGACTACTAACTCCTGCTCTGACCACTAGACATGACTGTCCACATCCCAGTCACTGACAGTTTGCAGCTTCTCTAAAATAAAGGTGCGCATCAAATGTAGTCCTAGCCAGAGCTTTTACAGGGCATAGGGATGCTGGCAGATTCCTCCTTTGCTCCTTGAATGTTGCTGGCCAGAGCAGTATTTAATGGGGAAGACTAAAGCACATATTGCTGTTCCTCTGAAAAGGAGCACGTATGACCTAGACAGCTTGAGCTGCAAAACAGAGCATGTATGCTAGTTTATGGGTGGTTGGCTGTGCCTGCCAGCTCCATAGGATTACAGAATGGAACCAGAGTGCGAGTTGTACATTGTTCCTAATGCTCTCGTGAGACTGGAGAGAGATCTTGCCCTGCTCTTTTACTTTCATGAGGCAGTTGGGAAGAGAAAAACTACTGTTCTCCAGTTTGTCAGCCCTTAGCTCACCAATGCCACAGATGGTAAGATCTAGCCTTGATTATTCTATAGACTTTTCATGTCATTGCACCATGTTATAACACGAATGCATTCGGCTTGGTTTTACATATGTGGACAGGTCTAAATCACATTCTGATACTGTATTACAGGTGTGGAAAGACCAGGTGCCTTTATAAACTTGTTGTGCATACGTGACCTGGGGTGCCTGGGGCAGCCCTCACTGGAAATGCCAAGATCAGGGTGGGCTGCAAAAGGGAGAGCAGATAGTCCCAAGACTGGTGGGTAACACTGAAGTTAACTCCCCAACCAGTCACAAACTGTTTCTGATCCCCCGCACTGGTTATCAAGAAGCAAAAAAGAAATCACACAGCCCCCTTCATTGCATTCCAGAAGTTATTTTAAAACTCTACTCTCATATATAAAATGGTCTTCTGACCCCAAAAAGGATCAGCCATGTTACCAGGTCTGTATAGGTTTGGATCTTATCCAAAGTACCACAGCCAGCCAATCCTTTGGTGTCTAAAACTAAAGGTTTATTATAAAGAAGAAGAGAGATGTTAAATAGTAAAGCAACCACATACAAAGACTTCAAAGGCCATATACAGTAACTCCTCACTTAACATTGTAGTTATGTTCCTGAAAAATGCAACTTTAAGCAAAACGATGTTAAGCAAATCCAATTTCCCCATAAGAATTAATGTAAATAGGGGGGGTTAGGTTCCAGGGAAATGTTTTTCACCAGACAAAAAACTGTATATATACACACATAAACACAGTATACATTTTAAACAAACAATTTAATACTGTTCACAGCTATGATGATTGTGAAGCTTGGTTGAGGTGGTGAAGTCAGAGGGTGGGATATTTCCCAGGGAACGCCTTGCTGCTAAATGATGAACTAGTACTCGGCTTAGGCCTTAAGGGTTAATACATTGTTGTTAATGTAGCCTCACATTCTACAAGGCAGCAGGA